ATAACATCACTGAAAAGACCATCGTAGAAAAGAACATCACTGAAAAGAACATCGCAGAAAAGAACATTGACAACAGAAAAAAGAAGCACCGGGCAGACAAGGACAGATTGCTCATCAAATAATTATTTACAGAGGGAAAAAACGAATAAAAGTACTATCCCAAAGATTGAGGAATACAGAGCACATGAATTTCTCCATGTATTTTGATCGCAAAAGACAACATTTTGATTTCTCAGGGAGGAGACTACTCTTTGAGTCCACGACAAGCACAGTCATAATAAGTCAACGCCGGTAAGGGAAGAACAGTAAAAAGTTGAACACGTACAGAGAAAAAAGAAATTAGCAAACCATCCATGCCTCCCCTCAGCCCTTTACTGGATCGATAACAACAACAACCCTCACCCTTTTCTCTAAACAAGCCACTCAGCAGACAAGGTTACGGTACAAATAAAAACAAATTTAAAATGGCATTTTTACAGCACATATCCCCACTCAACAGCAAACTCTATGAGTTTTACAATCAATACTACTACCCCAGTAGACCTTAAAACACTCAGAAAATTTTTCAGCTTTCCTGAAAGCATACAGTGCAAGCAGCGGATTAAGTGCTAAAACAGTAACAAACTGACAATATGTTTCGCTGACTATAATTCTTATCAATATGGACCACACCATCCAACCTTAAAGGAAAGAGGCAACATTATAGAGAAAGAGACAGAACAGACCACAAAACAGCATTGACCCACCATATTCACAAAAAATAAGGAAAATACTGTACCATAACAAACTGTACCACCATTATACTGTACCATAACACAGGGAGTACTAAGAGAAAATAAAAAATGTAGATCTCACCTCTACACTATAAAAGCAGGGGAAAAAAAGAAGTAGATCTCAATACTACACTACACATAGTAAAAAAAAGGCCAGAAGAGATGAATAAGGAAATAGTAGTAAGCTAAACGCAAAATCAAATCACTAACACTTTTTCCCCAAAACACGAAGATCAGCGAACACTATGCGACCAAATTATTATTATTATAGTTGTCATGAAAAAGCAAAAGGGAATGACAAAAAGGGAAAGATACTGCAACAAAACACACTTCACTGATGAGATCACAACACCTAATTAAAATCATAACACATGGCAAGCACATGATAATAGTGAGTTGATGTGTTTACAAACATAAATAATATTTATTGTATATATATATATATATATATATATATATATATATATATATATATATATATATATATATATATATATATATATATATATACAGTCGAATCTTCTCTAACAGTCACCTGTTTAAGACAATCACCTGTACAAATGGCAACTTCCCATTTCCCTCTTAATGTTTTGTCAAGATGACAACAACCTAGTGTAAGACGGACACCTGTCAAGGACAGCCACTTTTCTCCTCCACATAGAGTGGCAGTCTCAGACAATTGTGACTGTCTGTATTATATCATATAGTACTATAGTATATTTGAGGCAGCGAGGTGGAATCCGGCCCTCGTCAAAATAACCAAAGTGAAGAAACTTGCATTTTTCCGCCGGTTTGTGAATTTTTATAAAATTTTTGTTTTTTGGCTCAACACCTTTCATGCCCATTAAAGAACTCATTTCTGTGTGGATTTTTCTGAAAAACGTTGATTAAAGTCACACAAAAATAAAAATTTTCAGTTATCACGGACTCTTAAGCTAAGGAACTAATCTTTGGCGGCCATTTTCTAATTTATTTTACCTCTGAAAACAGGTGACCTCCACCTCCTTCATTCGCAAATATCTCGACTTGTATTCAAGATAAATGGATATTTTTTTCATCCAAATAAAAACAAGTGAACAAGCTTTAAGATGATACCAATAACTCTACATGCCCAAAAATTGATGAGAGCCTGATTCCACCACACTGTCTCACATATAGTACTATAGTATATCATATAATATCATATTGTATTACATTGACAAGTAGACAGCGCAGACCACACTCAGCGACCACCAGCAGTATACAAACATTACACCAAGACGCTGCTCTCTTTCAGTAGAATTTACAGCACCTGAGCAGTTGAGCCAAATGAAAAATACTTTTTTGAAATAAATACATTTTTCTGAGATTCATCGATTCAGTTTGTTCCGAGCAGAGACATATTTTACAACAACACCATAAACTGCATACATGCGGGTGAGGGTGGAGATTTCTGTTGAATACAATCAAAAATTGATAAAATCTTGGGGTGTTTTTTCAACAATTGTGGCTGTTTTTACGTCCCCATCACAAGGTAAAATCAGAGTCTGACCAGAGCCAATTTGCCGGGAGTTACAATAAATAGCTTTAAAATATGAGCATTTGATGGAATGGACAACTTGTAACAAAAACAAAAATTGTGAATGTTTGTTTGTTGGGATTTTTTTTTCAAACCAATGAAGCATGACAAGCAATTCAAAGGAATGTAAGACAGACATTTAATTCATCTACTGATCATCAACAAAAATCACAACTTACTTAATATATATATTATATATATTATATATATATATGCACGGGAGAACAAAGTCATTGTGGCTTGACTGACTTCCCGCACCAGTGCACCAGCCACATAGAAATGAAACAAAAAGTAGAAGACTAATACTGAAATACTCTCGCCGTGTCCTGTTTGTTCATTAAGCATTTACTGGAAAGTGATCTGTTTTGTTCACTTGGAATGTGTGGTGAAAGAAAAAAGTAAACAGAAAAAATCAAAGGGGTTCTTTGTTCGAAATTCACAGATCATTCATAATTCAGTCGAGTCCAATTCTTTTAACCGTACACCTGGGGTCATTTTGTACTCCAGGGGTTGTGTTCTTCACATTTTATAATACTTCTAGTGCGAAGATCTCTTTGAAACTTTTACTATTTCTCAAAAAACCATTTTGACAGACAACTATGCAAAGCGTACGGATCGGATTAACGAGTAAATTTCCTCTTTGGAAAGAGGTGGCATAGAGTTTCCCACATGGAATGGACACAATAGTAAAACACGACGTACAGTTAGGGTAAAACGAAGAAAAATGTCTGCTCGCTCATTGCTGCAAAACAAAAATTAACAGATCAACTTAAAGGAATAGTTCGTTGACAGACAGAAATCTTTTTCCTTGTTAAAATATAAGAGATTTCACACCCCCATCGACACAATTTAGATCATTCAGTAAGTGAGCTACCAGCCCTGCCTGCAATGGCTATCCCAGGCTGAGAGCGACACAGCATCCCAGCAGAAAGACAGAGATACTCGATAAAAATTCTGCCCACTCGGTAATTCATCTCAGATCTCCTGCGTACAACAGCCAAGAGCCTAACAGCTACACCAGGTGATAGACAGACTGCCGGAAAATGTGAAAAAGATAAATGAAAAGCAAACTTTTTTTCATTGTCGCAAAATAAAAGGACACTCCAAGATTGATATGAATAATATCAAATCTTTAAAAAATATATCACGGCGCACCGGCAGTGGAATTTTAGTTGCCGCGGGGGGTTCCCCGCCGGGCGCCTTATCACGTCGGGGTCACGGGGGTCAGCTCCCTGTCGCCGCTCTGTCTGGGCCGACTTAATTTTTGGTACTTTTCAACGTACAATTTAAGGTGCATCCTGGTATTTATGGTAATTCTCATTTAGTGCACCCAAAGCACGCATTTCTGCTCTTGAGACTTAAAAAAGAACGGACGTTGTAACTTGTCTGGTTATTTCGTTAGACGCGCTGGAGTCGGCAATGCTAAATTGTAATTTTTTTTAGACTAGCGTGAATGAAAAAAAATCAATATAAAAAAAACGCATCGTCAAAATCTGTCGAACTTTTGGAATATGAACGACATAACATTAGTGCAGATACTCAGAAAAGATGGTATCTGCGCTTATAATAGAAGGCTGTAATTTTGCAATTTTATCCATCGGGCACACAATTGGCTACGAAGTAATTCCTCCAAATACAACTTTATGTGTCTAATATAATCATGAATATTCGCATATTTTCTCGAAAGTTTATAAAAGTTATCATGAAGTTTCTCAATGAAAAGTGCAAATCGATTTTAGTGCTAGAATATATCTTCAACGTAGATCTAATACACGAACAGTATCTGTTACACTCCAGAAATTGCTTACTTTTCTTAAAACGCTAAGTCTAGGTTTTGTAAGTTGACTGAATAATAGGGATGACTTCTCGTAATTGGGTTATAAGAATAATTTCTAGCTTTCCAGGGACACTGAATTAGCACCAGACTTTTCCAGCTTTTTTTACGTTTCTATGACCATTTGCAATAACTGACAATGTGACTGATTTCTTTACATGCATAATTGTGTCCGCGCATATTTCCTACACAAAAACTAAGAATGAATGTTTTAGCTGTCGTTATTTTTATTCCATACTAGAAGTTTATCTCTACCCATGTATTTACACGGTTTTGTGGGTTTTTAAATCGCTTATATTATATCTTTTTAGTTGTATGCAGGCTGCCGCAGACACAGCATGATTCATGAACAAACGCAGAGTAACTTTCTCTTGTTTAATAGTAAAATAAGAGCGAACGCTGATCGTCTTTAGTTAAAATATGCAGATGTGCATCTTTCTTCTCTTATAACTTGACTATTACTACTACCGCAGATTTAAGATTTCTCATGGTAAAAGACATGATATTCGTAGTCAGTTTAACACAGAATTTGGAGAGATCTGTCGTGCCTTTTTTAAAATAACAATCATTTATTCATAACTTTGTAACTAAAATAGGACAAATTGGGTACTCTACAAACACTTGTCTAGAACAAAAACTAAGGCACAGAAACTAACCATTCTAACGCAGAATAAATCTCAAGACATTGAGCTTTTAGTACATTCGCGTAATTGTTTGCTGTGTGGGATGGGGAAGAAGTTATATCGTTTTAAACATAGCAAAAACTTCCCGACCGACACCGGCAAAGTCGCCTCAGGGCTCATTAACCCCGTAACCCCAAGCCGGGGAGCTCCGGCGGGCTGCTGAGTCACGCGAACTAAAAGTAACAGAATCGGGCGAAAAGTGACGCCGTGATATATATATAAATACAGAAGTAGCCACTAAAGTAAATATAGAATTGTACATAATCTCACTAATAACAGAATAATCATTATTATAAATAAACAGAACAAAAAAAAAAACACGTCAAAAGCATCACAACACAACAGATTACAATCAAAGAAAATATATCTAAACATCAGACAAAATAATTTTTTTAAAAATACAAACAAGTCTTTCAAAGATAATTTTGATGGCACCACACCCAAAATGATCAGCTCTAATGTCAACCAAGAACAAAACATTTCTGGATTGAGCTAGAAGACTGAACTTTCCCAGCATGAGTTGGGTGATTTCCCAGCATGAGTTGGGTGATTTCCCAGCATGAGTTGGGTGATTTCCCAAGCCTGAGTGTCCTTGGAAACTGCAATTTTACTTTTACTTGAGCCTTTGATCTTGAAATGTTTTTCTAGTAAAATCCACGGAGGAATACGTTTCTTTAAATAGAAATAAATGGGGTTGAGTCCAATCAGAACCAAAAAAAAAATCAATCAAAACTTGCCCCTGAGGTGGAAAAATGAGGGATCCTTTGATTTTATTAATTTGACGAGCGCCGGATTTTACCATGATGACACACACGTGTATAATATATATATATATATATATTTATGGCTCAGTATGCGACAAACAGTGTGGAAAGGGTTAACTCTTTCACTACAGGGAGCGGGGGAGGGGGGCTGGCGTCATCACCTGAACTGGGCCCCATCTGTGAGCTACATTTTGATTCTGCCTACCTTCGGACAAATTAAAGATTTTGAGTTCAATTTTCAATATAAGCCACATATTTGAAAATTAACGGGAAAAATTTACCAATCTCAGCTTGTTGCTAAAAACGATCATTCTTCAGCCTGAGACTACAAATTGGATTATTACAAAAGTAGGTGTCGTTTTGAAGAAGAAAGTAGTGAGCCATGAAACATGGATCCCGGTAGTGAAAGGGTTAAGTGGCGCGCCAAAAGGACGAAGATAATGACAGAACGAGGCGGTGACTCTTGGTCCCCCTCTTCACTTGGCAGGAGTGCTGCGGACGTTGGTTTTCAGCCAGCTCTTGATGGTCTGGAGATTCCCCTCGGCCCAATCGATGTGATTCTGCACGATCTCCAGAGACTGTTGGAGAGCCAGCTGAGCACTGCCCACGTCCCGACCCTTGAAGAAAGTCGCGATCTGGCAAAAAGAAGAGAAAAAAATGTAATTTTATATGGGTTTTTTTTGGTTTTGTTAAGTGTTTTATGGCGTTCACAACTGCCTAGGGTCAAATGAGCCTGCTGGACACATTAAACAAGTTCATTTGGTAGGAAATTTTGAATTTTGACTGGGTGGCGGCCAAAGCCTACTCTTACGGATTTTGAGACCACAAAGGGATCTGTAACGTCCACAACTTGCACACTCTACTGCCTAGATTTTTTGCCCTTCTCCGAGAAGGCTAGGTGTAGATCTTTCCTACCATAAGATCAGGGATGCGGCTGACAGACATCAGTAAGAAGGAGCCAAGGAGTAGCAGTAGAAAGGCTGCAGAAAGAGTCGGGAGCCCAGAGGAGGGGGCAAAGGAAGTGAGAGGGTGGGTCAGAAAGAGGAGACGAAAACAGACGACAGAGCATTACTTGGCAGCAGGAAAGAAGGTGAAAGGAGACAATTTAGAGAAGAAAAATAAGAAAAATTTCCGTCGTTTTCCGGATTAGAACCTGGGACCTATTGAATAAGAGGCAAAAACCTTAACCTCTAGGCTACGAGAGCCCCCAAGTTTTGATCTGGCAAAAAGAGGAGAAGGAAAAACACCTTTTATGTCCTTTTACTAACATATTTCTGTGTGGGTTTTCCGAATAACAGTGATCAGAGGCACATAAAATGTAAATTAGCTGTCAAGAATATAAAAGCTATGGGAGCCCTCAAACTTTGGGGTCAATTTTCTTGTTAATTTTGACACGAAGCGACACCCCACCTTGTTTCCTCGCAAGTATCTCGACTTCTATTCTATTCAACATAGATGGATATTTTTCCATCAAACCGAGACAAAGGAACAAGCTTTAAGACGACATAAGTCTCCCCACAATTCCCAACACTGACAAACACCTGATTCCACCATGTCGAGAAAACTCGCTACTCTAAAAATACAAAGTTCTATCAGCTCAGTACCTAGTTTTGAGAAATTTGACGTTAAAAAATTTTGAGCTTCACAAAAAGTCAAGCTTTTACGAACGCAATTCTTTGACCAACTTGATAACGACACCAAATAATCTTACGGTTTTGATGATGCAGATAGAGCATTTTATTTCTAATCCCAAGGTCTTAGTATCTCAAAGTTTTGGGTTTTAGTGGAGGTTTTACGGCGCTCGCAACTGCATAAGGTCGTAAGAGCGCCAGAAGATTAGAGCTGTTACAAGAGAGTAACAAACATAAAAAAAAAGAAGGGGAGATAAGAACGATAGATGATTGATAGGAAAGAAGAAGCAAATCACACCAGACAGAGTACCCGCCAACCACCCACCTCACGGTCATAGTATCTCAAAACGACCTAAAACGTGAGATAGAACTTTGTAATTCTGAGGTAGCAACACATCAGACTTTCGGACAAACAAACACACAGCGGACAGAAGCACCCACCTCATCGTAGTCGAACTTGGTGTTGAAGGAGTCCGTCACAGACTTGAGTGTGGAGGACAGGAGGAAGGCGTCTTTGCCGTACCTACACACCGACAAACACACAACTTACTTCTCTCTCTCAATAACAACAACACCAACAACAACAACAATAATAATTGTAATAATAATAATAATAATAATAATAATAATAATAATAATAATAATAATAATAAAGCATTAATAATAATAATAATAATAACAATAATAATAAAAATAACAGTTATCTTGATGATGATGAAGATGGTGAGTATTCTATAATGTTATAAAACTTCAAATGCTATAGTCTCCATCAACTCTTATTTTTCTTATCATAATTACAACAATGATGATGATGATGATGATGATGATGATGATGATGATGATGATGATGATGATGATGATGATGATGATGGCAATAATAAACTGACATAATAATAATCATGATAATAATAATAATCATAATAAATAATATGATTATAATGATGATGATAAGAGACTGAGAGAGAGAGAGAGAGAGAGAGAGAGAGAGAGAGAGAGAGAGAGAGAGAGAGAGAGAGAGAGAGAGAGAGAGAGAGAGAGAGAGAGAGAGAGAGAGAGAGAAAGAGAGAGAGAGAGTGAGAAACATGATAATAACAAATATGTACAAGAGAGGGAAAGGGAGGTATAGGGAGGGAAAGAGAAAGGAAAGAGACAGACAGAGAAACACACAGACAGACAGACACACAGACGGAAAGACACATAGACAAACAGACAAACACACAAAACCATACAGACAGACAGAGAGCGATGAGAAAAAAAAAACATTGAAAAAAAATTTAAGAGAGAAAAGCATCAACAGAGAAAAAACCCTAAAAATTACCCCCCCCCCCCCCCACCCTAACAGAGTTCCATCCAGGCCTGACAAAGATATCGTTCCAGCGCTGTTGGAAGAACACACACACACACACACACACACATACACACACCACCAACCCCCCCCCCCCACACCCCTGGAAAAAATGTTTTCCCCGCGTTGTGGAGAAAACCCTGGGGGGCCCCCCCCCCCCCCCCCCCCCCCCCCCACACCCACACACCCACACACACACACCTGGCAAAGATGTCGTCCCAGCGCTGTCGGAAGAACCTCCAAGCCAACAGTTGACCGTTGGTGTTGGCGGCCACGTTTGTGATGACCGTGCCCGTGTCCTGAGACTTGACCGTCACACCGTCCATACTGTGCTCCAGGAGTCTGGGGGAGGGGGGGGGGGGAAGGAGTGGGAGAGTTTGTTACAGGAAACCGAGGGTTTTTTTTGTTTTTCAAACAGTTATAGTTTTCGTTTTTGTAAGAAATTTGGTTTTTGTTTTCGTAGGAGTTTTATTATTTTTTTTGTCGCTGAAGTTTTTGTTTTCGTTTATGTGAAAGTTTTACAGCACTTGCGATACAAAGAGATTATATAAGTGCCAAAGATTCAAGGCGATACTAGAGAGTTTAGTTTGAGTAAAAATTTTACAGCACAAGAAAAATAAATAAGTCATAAAAGTGCCGAGGATTAGAAGTATTACTAAAGAGTTTAGTTAAGTTTAAGTAAGAATTTTATTGTACTAGCAACACAAATATGCCATATAGGTGAAAAAGGTTAGAGGTGTTTACTGAATTCAAGAAAACAAAATCAGATTTTGTGCAAATCCTGACAGGGTTCCTCCAGAGGCAACAAATTTTTCTCCAAAAGAAAGAAAGAAACAAACAAACAAACAAACGACAAAAGGAAAGAAAGAAAGAAAGAAAGAAAGAAACGGAGGGCTTTGATTGATTTCATTAAAGAACTTGGCAGTGTGCACAATCACGGTTCGCTATTCATTCCTTTAATTGCTCCGCTGCTTCTGCTGAGAAGCCAAAATATTTCTCCCATCTCTTTGTGAAAGCGAACATGATAAGCTTACGTCTGAAGGATGCGGGCATCTCGGGTAGCAGCCAGCGCAGACAACAGGGTCCTCCGCTCCGACGGGGTCTTCTCCTTCTGGTACCGCTGCAAGACAAGGTTCCATTCCGAGTGGTTGCCATAGCGAAGACCGACAGAGTAGATAGAGCCCCGGAGGTCATTGAGTACGCTGGGGAAGGAAATTTTAAAATACAAAAAAAAAAAAAATCAAGTAAGAGATAACACATGATAGATGATACTTTATAGTCAAAGGCGAGACAGGAAAAAAGATATATGAGTATTAACAGTGGATCTATACGTTTTAGTAAGGTTTTACAGCGCTCACAACTGCATTAGGTCATATGAGCGGCCAGGGGTGGATGTCAACAGAGAAGTTCATACAGGGAATCAGGCTTACTCTGCTCACCTCTCTAGCCTCAACAGCACAAAGTCTGCTTCGACTATCAAGGCATCCCTTAAATAACGGGTCACAAGAGTGTGACAAACATGTAAAAGAAGTAGAGGAAAACAACGATAGTACGGATTAGGAAAGAAAAAGCAGCAGTTCCCTGTTGTAGTTCAGGCACAGTTATGAGCACGACATTGATGAATCAGCCCATTTGCAATTCTACGGTGCATAAGAACATGTTAATTTCCCCCCCTTTGGGAAGGACCTAAAGACAACTTTAGTCAGTAGTACTGCCCTGGGGGGTGAGGAATGGAAATTCAGAAAAATATCAAGTAAGGGAAAAGACATGAAAGATAATACTCTATTGTCAAAGGTGTGACAGAAAAAAAGAAACATACATGAGTACTATAAGTATATAAGGCGTAGAACAAAAAACAACAACCAAGAAGTGATAAAATTTCCCAGTGAGTGGACAATAAATGTTGGTTTTTTCAATGTCATTATTTTGAGGAGCACCTGTTTTCACCCGGACACCACACATACCATTACTTTACCATCAACACATCCAGATATTGTCCGTGTAGCAAACAATCCACTTAAGTCCTTTGGGGTACTTTTCATACCACAGGCAAAAAACTAGTCTTTGCAGCGTTGTTCTTTTCAGGAATCATGAAAAGCAAGAAAATTGTACGCCTTGACCGCCACAACATTTCACCACGTTTTGGTGATGCTGAAAGGTGCAGCTTTGATCGAGTTTTGGGAGCATGTAAAAATGGATAATTCTAAAATTTGGATTTGAGTGGTTAGTTCATGACAGCGACGAGATGCAGTGGCAATCCTGTCACAGTTGGTCACTAACCTGAAGGGTTTTTCCTCCACCCAGTTGTGGAACAGCTCCAGGGCTCTGCTCACCGCTGGCTGGTACTCTGACACAATCGCCAGGCCAATCAGGAACGCTCGCATTTTTCTAGAAGTGACAAAAAAAGATAAACCAATAAAAAAAAAATAAGCATTCAGCACGATTGTGAAAAAAAAAAAGTTTTTTTCGAAAAAAAATAGAAATATTTTGATAAAAATCTTAAGGACATTCTGTGAGGAATCAAACGAATAACTTATGCAACCGCAGAACCAATCATCTTAGAATTTGTGGCAGAGGCAAGATGGGTTTTCCTTGACATAAGGTTGACGTAACGAGTTATTGCATCACATGTCAAAGTGTCGAGCCAGAAATCATACACTGATGTCTGTTACCGGGTCTGTATCCACTTTGTTTGTCAAAAGCTTTTTTTCTAAAGCAAAATCCACCTAAGATGGTGAGATCAATGTTAAAGTCTTTTCTCTGAAACAGGTAAACACCTTGAATGTCTCTTAAGGACATTTTTCAGTTTATTCGTTTGTATGAGTAAAAAGAAACACATCATTGCAACAACTGTTATATAGTGCATGGATGAAGCAAGACGGACTAAAAGAAGCACATCATTGCAACAACTGTCATATAGTGCATGGATGAAGCAAGATGGACTAAAAGAAACACATCACTGCAACAATTGTCATATAGTGCATGGATGAAGCAAGACGGACTAAAAGAAACACATCATTGCAACAACTGTCATATAGTGCATGGATGAAGCAAGATGGACTAAAAGAAACACATCATTGCAACAACTGTCATATAGTGCATGGATGAAGCAAGACGGACTAAAAGAAACACATCATTGCAACAATTGTCATATAGTGCATGGATGAAGCAAGACGGACTAAAAGAAACACATCATTGCAACAACTGTCATATAGTGCATGGATGAAGCAAGACGGACTCAAAGAAACACATCATTGCAACAACTGTCATATAGTGCATGGATGAAGCAAGACGGACTAAAAGAAACAACAGAGAGGAAGAAAAGAAGTAGGACCTTCCAGTGGAACCCTCCGATCAACCACAACATTTCTCTATTTGAGTTTGAAGACATCTTTGCAATTAAATATCAGAGCAAATCCCCATCCAAAGCAAAAGAAATTTGGATTCAACATCAGGTGCCAGATCCGTGACAAACATCGGTGATCATGGTTCACACCTCATTCGTTGGCTCAGATGCTCTCCACAAAGCCTATATCATACTGATCTTTCCCCGTCACCCATCGGTTCAGGCTTTTCAAATAAGTTGTTTTGGGTCTACCTCTGCCTGGTTTCATTTCACTTTCGATTGAAGAAAAAACTTCTGGACTACTTTCTTTTTTAAAACAGTCCATTATCCGCAAGTTGTTCAAAGGTGCCTAGCCCAGAAAGCAAAATTTTTAGGAGAGAGACAAAAAACTGTTTTATTCTCTAAATAATTTTACCTCTACATTACACATCTTTTCTTGCTTTATTGAATATTTAGACTCTCTCTCTCTCTCTCTCTCTCTCTCTCTCTCTCTCTCTCTCTCTCTCTCTCGT